CCAAGAATAAGCTGTGACAGAAACCTTTGTTAAAAACCATTTTTGGATTCCCACCAGCAGAACGTGCACAGTTTCTGACTGTTGGTGTATTCTTCCTTCTATTACAGAAAATGAACTGTGGGAGCATGGGAAGATGAAGTGCAATGTTATTTACATTTTTGTGCCAAAACATTATGAAGTGAAATAGTCAAACATGCCGAGCCAGTGCAGCATATGAAAATTAATAGGAACATTTTGAATATGTGATCTTTTACTTGAAACAATATAAATGAAAAGGGTTCTGTTGAAGGACTTTCTTGACCTCTTTTAAATGTTTCTTCTTCTTTTCTTAACACTCTCTGTTGTTTATAATAACCCCTTTGGATCTCAGGTCTAAAAATTCTTTCCTTTTAGAATTTCATTCTTTCTGTTTGTCTGTGTACAACAAATACCTTTCAAGGAAGAAAGTACAGTGTCTTGAGCCCATTAAGTTAGTAAAGGATGTCTAATAGCTTTTGAGATAGGACAACAGGGTGAGTATTGGGTTTGGAATTCTAGTGCTGGTGTTTCATTCGGCCATCAGTCAGTGTAAGTGAAGGGGTATGTGTAAAGACATTCAAAGGGGATAAGAACTAAGGCAAGAACTTCCAACTGGAGGCTCAGGAGGGATTCAGGAATTTCTGGGAAATTGCTTTATGGGAAGATAAAGCATTTTTCCTGTTGCTGTGATAGCATGCCAGGCAAAGGCAGCTTAAGGAGGAATGGTTCATTTGGCTGACAGTTCCAGGGTACAGTCCATCCAGCCTGGTAGTCCAAGCAGAAGGAGCCTGAAACAGCTTGCCATGTGGCATCCACAATTTGGAAGCTGAGGTATAGGGGGGCCTTGAGTACAAGCCTCGGTACTTTCTCAGGGCTCATAATTGGAAGTCTACAGCAGGCGAGGATCTGAGGGTAAAAAATTAACTCAAGCAGGTTATCTTTGCATGTCCTTTATTCTTCATGCAAGTGGAGAAAGTGAAGTAAAAGAGGTCACAGAGAAGAAGAATAGGGGGGCAGTAGAAGAAGTAGCGAGAAGAACAATAAGGAGAAGGACTAAGGGCTGATCTCCATGAGGTTTCCAGTTTTTACAGAGATAGTTGGAAAGTTCCATATACAAGGGCAATAATAATATGCATATCGAAATCACAAAGAGGGCAGGGAAAACCTGACAAAGCAGGACTCCAGAGCAAGTGGACTGACCCAGGGAAGCCAGTATTTAAGGGGAAGTATCTGACGTGTCATACTATTAGATAAAGTTACTTAAACATCCCTGATTCCTGGATTTACCCATTCTTCTCATATAATCTCTTTGGTGACTTCCAACAGCTTTGGGGACTTCCAGATTTGTTTGTTAGCAAAGGTGGGGCATGCTGCCTTCCTGCTCAGTGCTTGTATTCTATAGAAATTTCTATGTGCTCTGTTAGCAGGTAATTTTGTGGGATTTGGTCTAAGTAAATTTGACTGTTAGAACAAAGAGTGAATGCAATTGCTCCAAGGCCTCAAGGTGTGGAGTAATGGGGCAAGGTCACTTGTTGCCTGTGCAGAAGTCACACTGCTGAAGTGTTTTGGGAATGAATCCCATTTTAAAGGAAAGAATCATGGTTCCACAAGGTTTTTACTGACACAACAGGGACTTTTTCAAAAGACAAGTGTTCTCGCAGCTCTTCAAAATGGGTTATTCCTTGTGGACGTGAACGTATACACTTCCCGTGCATCTGCTATAGGTCTGTCAACTGTGCATTCACAGTATAGTCTTGTGGGCTCCAACACTGAGGTAGATTAATGAATGCCTAGCTCACTTTTTTTCTTTTTATACAATCCAAAATCCCAAAGCAGGGAATGGTACCACCCAGAGGGCAGGTCTTTCCACATCAGTTAACCAGATCAAGATGATAGGCATGCCCTGAGGCTAACATAGACACTCTGTTCCAGATGTACCTGGTGGCCTTTTAGTGTGTTGTATACCACGTGTGGTAGTGTGAATATATTTAGTCCCCATAAGCTCATAGGGAGTGGCACTATTAGGAGCTGTGGCCTTGTTGGAGGAAGTACGGTTTTGTTGGAGGAGGCTGGCTGGCACTTGCCTTTAATCTAGACCTTGAGGCTGGAGAGCACACCTTAAATCTGAGCCACACCTTCTGTTGGAAGCGTCACTGTGAGGGTGGAATCTGAGGTCTCTTTCTCAATCTTCTCCTAGTGTGACAATCAGTGGACTTCCCCTTGCCTCTGTGTCAAGGTGTAAGCACTCTCAGCTCTAGCACCACATCTGCCTGCATGCCACCATGCTCCCCACCATGATGGACTGAATCTCTGAACTGTAAGAGTCACCGCAATTAAATGGTGTTTATATAAGAGTTGCCATGTTCATGGTGTTTTAACACAGCAATAAAAACCCAAACTAAGACAACCTTGTAAAATTGATAACACTATCTATCCATCAACCACCACACAGGGTAACTTGGTGGTCTTTGCACTAATAAATATATTATGAAGAACTTAAAATAATTAGAAAAAAAAAGTTAAGAAGAAACTTAGAAAATTTACTTTCTGTTCGATACAAGGTTAAGTACTGTACATATATTAGATACCAGGTTAAGTACTGTACATATATTACTTTATTCTGGCATTTGTGTCCCATTGTCTAGGAGGCAGCTTCATTAATCATCCCTGTTTTACAAGTGAAACATAAAGAGAAAAAACAACTGTTTTCAAAAATTTGCATCATAGATAATAGATAATTAATTCAAATCCATTTTTTTACACCACACCCCTAGTTTTAATTCTTAAACTACATTGCTTCTAGAGAACATGTGGTTATGGTTATATATATCTTTTATATCTTTGTCATTGTGGAGAAGTTTGACTTTGTGCTACAATTCTAAACTAGCAAAGCACTGAGACTCAAAGATTCCAAGAGTCTTTACAAGAAGCAAGTGTTGACAAAAAAGAATATTAGTAAACAGAAGAGAGCACTAGCTGAGTGAACCAGGTTCCTGAGGATGAACCAGGGCACCCAGAAGCTGAGTGTCTAAATATCAATGGAGGAAAGACCAGCATAGATAAAAATATGATTAGTGTATTAAAGGTTATCCACAGACTTACTGAAAAAGTATTTTCTGAGATTCAAAACTAGTTTCTCCAACCTACAGCCTGCAGAGTAATGATGGTACTCCATTGTGATACATTTTTCTATGTTTAGTATGGTAGAGAGGAGACTTGATTATACAAATTCTAGATTATTCAATTCTGTGCATTCTGGAACACACTATGGAACTGGATTTTTCCATTTTAAAGCTGGCATTTGAAAACAAGAATTAAGTTATAGTGGAAAGTACATATTTTATAGTTACACCTATAATCCTAATTTGAAATACTTGCCTTTGTTTGTGGATAAAACTGCATATTAGGAAGTCCAAATTAGCCTTTTCTTTACATGTTGGAAAACAACAACTCTCTCCATTGTAAATAGTTCAGATATTTATATTTTCTCTCAAAATCTCTTCACCTGCCTCAGTTAACTCTTCTCTGAAACCCTTTCCTCCTTCCTCATTTATTCTCTGGACTAGTGGTCCTCGGAGTCACTGCTGACATTTCTGCAGCTGCTTTATATGCTTCAACTAAGTCCTTGTTTTCTCTTCCCCTGCTTTTTGCGCCCCCCCCCAATTTATCCCCTTTGTCCACGCTGCCATGACTCCATCTACCTATGAACTTTCTCACGTACAGCCTCTGGATTCCCATCTAATTTCACTCTAATCAAACTTACAAGATCATGCTCAACAAAACCTTGGATCCCAAATAATGGCAGGGGCAGCTTTGCTTGGAATTGGTTGAACAAGTAGGAAGTGCTTGTAGAATTTTAAGCCTTTTTGTGTTTGACTGGCGCCCATATCTTTGACTATGGTTCAAGATTCATATATTCACAGTCTAGAACACAAGGTCTTCATAATCAGGAGTTGGCCTGTTTTTCTTTACTCATAGACTCTCATTGCACACATTCATTCTTTTGATATAGCTTTAGTTTTTTGTAGTGCTGTGTGTGTTTGTGCTATTTTTTTCTGCTTAAAGTATATAACGTACCAATATGCACCAGGAGAGTCCTTCTCCTCCCATAGAATTCAGGTATTTGTCCTTCTGATGAGCTCACCAGATATATACTAATTCTCCATGCTGCCCTATTCTTTTTTATAAGTATCTCCTATCATTGATTATAATTATCTTGATTATAGGCTTATATCATTTATGTTCAGTCCTCTAAAAAGTTTAGGTCAAAAAACAATGATGCCAAATAAAAAAATTATGATTAAAAATTATAGCATCAATGACTCTGATCCCTTTGATATATATTCTATTCTGCCATTATATTTTTTCTTTGAAAATTGTAGAGATAAATAAACAAATAATAAATAAAAGATGAATTATTTTTAGTTTCTTAGGGTAGACTGATATATGAGAAGATATAGGAATTCTTTGTTCATAGTTATGAAGACAAATCATAATTTGGTTATTAACATAATATTTTAGCAGGTAGCATATCAATTATTTTTAAATGTTTATATTTTGTAAATCATTTTGTAATACCACTTGGGAGACAGAGGCAGTCATTTATCTGTGAGTTCAAGGACAGCCTGGTCTACAGAGTTAGTTCCAGGACAGCCAAGGCTACAAAGAGATACCTTGTCTCAAAAAATCAAATAACTAATAATAATAATAATTGTGTGAGACAAACTATACCTCCAGGTGTTAGCTTAATAAACATAATAATTTGTGAATCTTAGTTACAAGCTAAACTACTCAAATGATATTAGGAATAGTGATCAAGAGTATTGCCTTAGACACAAAAGTATTAAATAGCTTTTTGTAGCTAACAGACTTGAAAAAAAAAACTCTATAGTTACCTCATGAAAAGGAACTTCTACCAGGAAGGACAAATGATATGTTCCAAGAGAATCCAGTAAGATTTAGAATACCTGAATGCTGTCAGAGTTGAGCTGTGTTTCCCATGAAGAGAGTACTGGTACAACCATGCCATTTCATGTGCAATGAAATTATTTACTTCCCTAGAGCTGGAATGCCTTATTTATGTAAACATTCCAAACAGACCTAAAAGAAGCAAAACAAACCAAAACAAAAGTAAGCAAAAGAGACCAATGTCAAGAGAGAGAGAGAGAGAGAGAGAGAGAGAGAGAGAGAGAGAGAGAATGTTGACCATGAAGTAGTCCCACATTAGCTCAAAATGGAATATAATAAAGGAGTCTTTATTTAGGGGTAGACTCACAGATCAACAGTCCTCTGCACATGGGAGGAACAGGAACCAAATTCAGCAGTCACGAGTGTGCACAGGGTTCTACATCTGTTTGTATAGTACCCAAGGCCACACCCAAAGTGGACTAGCATCTCAAAGGCCATTGGCTGAAGGACTTTTCCAGCATCCCCTTTTGTCTAAATAAGAGCATTCCAAACCCAATACAAAACTATATACAATAAGAACACATATCAAGTATAAAAATTAGAATTACAACCAGTATAAATAATATTAAGCAAGAAACTTATATTAAATGTTTCAATAATTATCCTATTCTAAGGAATCTTGTATTAGAAATGGCTTGGCTAAGTCATGAGAAGAAAGTAACTACAACTGTCTAGTCCTCAACACCATTGAAGACATGAAAAGGGAAATGATATTATTTGAGTAAACAGGAAGTTCAATCAAACAACTTCTAAAATATGTAATAAATGACAACGACAACTGGCTACTTGGGCAATCACCCAAAGTCTCATTTGCAGTGTTGGAGCAACCAACTTTGGCTAAGGCCTAGAGTAACTGACCATTTTCAGAGGCAGGAAAAAATTTTAAAACTGTCTTACCCTGTTTTGGCAAGGTTTGGCAGTCTGGTTTTTGTTCCTGTTTATCAGTTTTGTCAGTGGTTGAGGAGGTATGGACAGTTCATTGCCCAAAGGCCATTTTTATCAAGAAGAAAACAGCTTCAAGTGTAGTGTCTTCAGTGCCCAATGTTTTCTCAGGGATAGATGGATCAGTGCTGCCAGGAGCAATCATGTCTCAAGTCAACAGAACCCTAAGTTATTTAAATGCCATATTCTACAGTTCTTTGAAGTGGTTGAAGATTATCTATATGCAGAATATACTCTCTTATGACAAACATGGATGACTACTGACCTAAATTTTTAATAACTATATAGCTTAAAGTCTGACTTCATATTATAATATTAGACAAACTTTAAACAATCGTGTAGCAAATGAGGAAAATGACATTGAAATGTAAACAATGTATAAATATTTTGATCAGAGGTAGAAACGTATAGTACAATATGATAAATATATCCTAAAATTGTATCAATATACAAAATGTCTTAAGCAGAAAAATAAACATACACCTGTACAATATGACAAAATAACTTTGCATAGGTGTACAAATTTTAAGAAGTTTTAAGTGGAACATATTCTATATAACAAATATAATTTAAATTTGTATCCATATACTAGAATCTATAGCAATGTAAATTGTTTATAAATAATAGCTTACAAGTAGAGAGGGAAAGCAATCCTATTAGAATTTAGATCTTGCCTTTTATTAAATTGCCCATCCAGGCTGCTGGGGTTATGGTAGTAGACTCAATATCTTTGCAGCAAACCTGGCATGGAGAAGCCTGACTCTTGGCACTAGTCTGGAAAACACAGAGAAAGATGTTTGTGAAACAAGCAAATGATAAGAACCTGCAGTGAAAAGTCATTGCTGTGGCAAACCTGTCCCAAGTAAAGAGAGGTTTACTTGGGAGGGCAATTTTGGGAGGGCAAGAATCCTGAAAATCAACAGGCTTTGATTCAGAATTTTTCTGTAAGGTATGAAGAAAAGTTTGTTTTTAGCACAGTGCTACAGCTGAGATCCTTGTAGCCTGAAGAGGGCGCTGTGCTCCTGACAAACATTAATGTCATTTCTAAATGCTGCTTGTCTTGAATGTCCACACATTTCTGCCTCCAAGCCTAAGTAATGGAACTTTCTTCTTTCTCTACATGATGATCCCCCCCCCCCAGCTATGGTCTTGTTGCTCTTCCCTATCCTGGACTGTGAGTGTGGCTTTTCTGAGGTAGCAAGGTCTTGAGAAGGACTGGAGAATTTTTCTCTTAAACGCTTTGCTATTGAATCTGTATACAGTAGAAATCACGGTTGCTCTTATATCTTGTCATGGATAATGAATAATGAATGAGTATTAGTGTTCTGTTTCTTCAAGGGAAGAAGTGCAGGGTATCTGGAAGATGTATATTATCTTTAGGTATGTTTTTTGATTTAATAACATTATTTCAGACACTATGTTAAATACTTTACACATATTAATGTAATAATTGCCCTATCCATATGAAGCTATTGTTATTTTAACCACTTTAGAGATAAGAACACCCAGAGGTAAGCATCTCAGTTAAGATTACAAGATCAGACTTAAAGAATTGCTCAACATCCTTAGCCATTAGGGAAATTCAAATCAAAACAACCCTGAGATTTTATTTTACATCAGTCAGAATATCTGAGGTCAAAAACACTAATGACAGCTTATTCTGCAGATTATGTAGCACTAGAGGAACACTCCTCTACTGCCGGTGGAAATACAAACTTGTACAGCTACTTTGGAAATCAATATGGCAGTTTCTCAGAAAACTTGTAATCAATCTACCTCAAAACCCAGTTATACTACTCCTGGGTGTATACCCAAAGGAAGCTCAATCATACCACAAAGACACTTGCTCAACCACGTTCATTGCAGTGTTATTCATAATAGTCAGAATCTGGAAATAACCTAGATGTCCCTCAACCAAAAAATGGATAAAGAAAATTTGGTACATTTATACAATGGTTTATTACTCAGCTTTTAAAAACAATGACATCATGAAATTTACAGGAAAATGGATAGAACTAGGAAAAAAATCATCCTGAGTGAGATAACGCAGATCCAGAAGGACAAACATGGTATGTACTCACTCATAAGTGGATATTAGCTGTAAAGAATAACCATGTTACAATCCACAGCCCCATAGAGACTAGGTAACACAGAGGGCACAAAGGCAGATGCATGGGTTCCCCCTCGGAAGGGGAAATAGAGGAGATCTCCCGGGTAGGCAGGAGGCAGATGGGAATGGGAACATGAGGGATATGGGTTGAGGGGGACAGTAATGAAAGAGATGTCATGGGGGTGCAGCATTTCGGGGTCAGGTAGAAATCTAATGCAAGGGAACTTCCATGAGTCTACAAGGATGACTCCAGCTAAGATGCCTAGCAATAGTGGATAGGTAGCCTGAAGTGGCCATCTCCTGTAATCAGAGTGGAAACTGCTCCAATTGTCATTGGAGAGCCACCATCTAGTAACAGATGGAAACAGATGCAGAGATCCATAGCTGAACACTGGACCAAGCACGAGGAATCCTGTTGAGGAGATGGAGGAAGGATTGCACGAGTCCGGAGGAGGGTGAAGGTCATCACAAGAGAACCCACATAAGCAACTGAGCTGCTCATGGAAGTTCACAGTCTATGTACCAAAGGCTACAGAGCCTAAATGGGATCAACCTAGGCCCTCTGCATATGTGTGATGGTTGTGTAGCTTGGTTTGTTTGTGGGACTCCTGGCAGTGGGAGCAAAAGAAGCTCAAATCAGTCAAGCAACCTAGAAGAAACAGAAACCAACTAAACTATTTGGAGGGGGCTGAGACCAAAGAAACTATTTAGAAAGGACACCAACTTGTTGAGCTTCCATCAGGCTGTACAGTTAAGTCCCAGGCTTTCAATTATCATTGCTGCCTTTGGTCATTTCTGTTCCTGTTAGTAACGCCAATAGAACTCATCAGTTGGTTTACTGAGTTGAACTTTGGTGGTGCTTATACTTCAGTGAGTCATCCTTTCCTTGCCTGGTGTTAGCAGACATGTGTTTTAGTCTCCTTAGGAATGGGCTCACACAACATATTGTGTAGAACAACCTGGATCGGCTTGATCAAACAGGTTAAGAATTTATTTGTGCAGATATGGAGAAAGGAAGACTCACACCAAGAAGAGGAGAGGTATTCAGAAATTCTAATGTGTGGGACCAAAAGGATACTTCTGCTTTAATATGCACTGAAGTTCCGAGGAGACTCTGTTAATCATCTTCTGTCTGAGGAAAGTTCAACAACTGTAAATGAGATTTCGAATCTACGTTTACTTAAGCATCTCCAACAATTCAGAGCATCATGAAGACTTAGGACTTATATCTGCAGACTCATTGGAAGACAGAAACTAAGGCTTTATTCTAAACATTGTCTTTGTCTATGACCTTGTGTATGAGATTTGGTACAGAAGCCTGTCATTTAGACTCATCTTCATGGGCAAAGAAAGATGACTGTCTCACTGGCCAAATTTCTTGAAACTGGAGAAAATAACAATGCATGCCTCTTATAAGTAAGCTTGGGGAGGGTGTGGCTGGAGACATGACTCAAAGTTTAAGAGTACTGGCTGCTCTTCCAGAGAGCCTGGATTAGAAGCCCAGCATCTATGTGGCAATTTCCTATAACTTCAGTCAGGGGATCCAACACCCTCTCTCTTATGTCCACCATGATCACCAGGCATTCATGTGGTACAGATACACATACAGACAAAATACCCATACACATAAAATAATTCTTTTTTAAAAAGATAAGCCTGGAAAATAAAAAAACTATAGGACATTTCAAATTGGGTTGAACTTTGAAATCTCTCTTATGCACATTCACAAGATGGTAAGGGTATTAAAAATAAATAATCTTAAAGGTATGTATTGTATTTTATGCAAAGGCCATGGTGTAAAGAACCAAAATGACCCCCACAGTTGCATCAGATGATGTAACTTTATCACTAAGACCTGCCTATATCTCTCTTATGAATGAGACAGAATATTCATGTAGTTATAAACCCTAGTCCCTATCCAACACTATGCTAGTCACAGGGAAAAACAGTCTCTATGAGCAAAACGAAAGTAAATTTCCCCCATAACGGAATTAGAGGGCAGATTTTTTTTCTTAAAAAGAAACAGTAATTTGAAACAGGGAAAAATTAAGCTAAATAAAAGGAAACAGTGAAGTTTTGTAGACTGTGGAAGCATCTCAGTGGGAACATTTTGGAAGTTCCACCACTTAGTCACTTCAAAATGGACCAGACAAATTACTTGGAGATGCCCTGCAAGTGGTAAAGTTGCACAGAATGGGTGAATAGATGGTTTCTCTATTCCAAGATGGAAATTTCCCCAAGTGTTGTCAGCACACTACAAAAACATGTGCTTGTATGCATGTGCACACAAACACACACACAGTGTTAGACACACAGGCATAACATGGACACACAAAACCCGTCCTTTTCAGCTGATTTTCCTCTGACTTCAGAACTTAATCATCAACAAAATGTCATTTTAAAAATCCCTAGAGCCTCTTTCTATTCCTGGGTTTACATTTACTACTATTTTGGATCCCTGTTGGCTTTCATGATGGACAATGTTTTCTGTTAAGACTATAAAACCTTTACAGTTTCCACGACGTCATCTTTAAAGCCTTGTAAACACCTTTCTCAGTGAGTCCTCCTGCTTGCACATAGTGGACAGGGGAGCTGCTTAGACGCTATGGGAGACAAGAAGAACCACCTAACTTCAACATCGTGGCCATTTACAGACACTGCACACCTCCATAGGCTTTTCCCATATCTGGGAACCACCCAGTCCTCCTCTTTCCCTGGGGCCATAATTAGTTTCATGGATAGATGGGGGTCCTGTTAATCAAAAGCTGATATCTAGTTTATATGGCACTGGAAGAAGGGGTTTTGTTGTCGTTCTTGCTTTTTCTTTTCTGAAGTTTAGCATTTTTTTTCCACCAGAAAATAAAACTTTAGATTTTATTTACATTTTAGTTGTGTTTCTTATAGTTCAGTATAGCTTAAAAATATTATAGATTCCCATTTAAACACAATACTTTTGATTCCTTATTTATAAGAAATTTGAATTGAGGTCTGTGCTTCTTTAAGAAAAAATGTTCTATTTTAGGTAGCCAGTAATAGAAGGATTGAATAAAAATATAGACTTTTATTTTAACTATAACATTAAAATGAAAGTGTACTGCTATAGGTCATCCTTTTTCCTTGTTGCTTGAAGACCAGTTAATATGTGCGTTCATGCCTTGTGCAATACAACAATAAAATACAACTACTGCAATATTAAAAACCAGCACCCATCGCTGTACAGTTTACAGACACTCCAGGGTTTGCGTTATTTCCTTTGGAGACATATGTGCTCATGAAAACTCCTTAAGGTAAATGTTTCCATTTCACTGATGGGCATCTTGGCTTTAGATTGATTCATGTGTGCCTACAATTATGGAATTGTGCAAAGCAAAATCTGGATTGTAGCCTGAATTTTCAGACTCCACTCGAATGCCTGTCCATTAACTATTTGTGTCATATACCAAAATGTACACCTTCACTAAAACCTGAAAGTTTCCCCTTCTTCAATTTGCACCTTCTCTTTCTGCCCCCAAGAAAGAACAAGAGACCACTTTCCCAAATACTGGTTTGAATTGTTAAAAAATAATAAACACAACTATTAATCTTTTGGGTGATCAGCATAATTACTAAAATAATATGTTTATTCAATTATTGCTGAATTCTTCAGGTAACCTACAGAAGTCTG